AGAGAGGGCAATATATGTGAAATACGAAGGGAGGCACTGGTCAGTGAAATAGCAGATACCGAACTTAAGTTGAAGGAATCTTACAGGAGACAATCTCAGGAAGAACTAAACGCCATAAAGGAAATTGAAAAAAAAAAATACTTCTTCTCTTATGCCAAATCTAAAGGAAAAACAACATCCAGTATTGGACCCCTGCTTAGGCGGGATGGGACCTACACGAATGACAGCAAAGAAATGAGTGAGATGCTAAAGTCCCAATACGACTCATTGTTCAGCGAGCCCTTACCCAGACTAAGGGTCGACAATTTAAATGAATTCTTTATGAACGAGACCCAAAGTTTAGTCATCTCGAAAATCTCTGATATTATCCTAACGCCACAAGTCTTTGAAAGGCAATAAATAACATGCCCATACACTCTGTCCTAGGCCCAGACTCATGGAACTCCGTGTTCATCAAGAACTGCAAGAAACCCCTGTTACGTGCCTTCAGCATTCTATGGAGAGGGAGCATGAACACAGGGGTCATCCCACACTCACTAAAAACAATAGACTTAGCCCCACTCCACAAAGGTGGCTGTGAAGCAATTGCAAAGAACTACATACTGATAGCACTAACATCCCATATCATAAAAATCTTTGAAAGGGTTCTAAGAAGCAAGATCGCCAACCACCTAGATACCCATCAATTACACAACCCAGGGCAACATGGGTTTAGAGCAGGTCGCTCCTATCTGTCCACCTACTGGACCACTATGACAAGGTCCTGGATGCTATAGAGGATAAACAAAATACAGACGTAGTATACACAGATTTTGCAAAAGCCTTCGGCAAGTGTGACCATGGTGTAATAGCACACAAAATGCGTGATAAAGGAATAACAGGAAAAAGTTGACATATGGATCTATAACTTCCTAACAAATAGAACACAAAGAGTAATAGTAAACAGAGTAAAGTCCGAGGCAGCTACGGTGAAAAGCTCTGTTCCACAAGGCACAGTACTCGCTCCCATCCTCTTCCTCATCCTCATATCTGACTTAGAGATGTAAGACATAGCTCCATGTCTTCCTTTGCGAATGACACCAGAATTGCCATGACCGTGACCTCCATCGAAGACACCGCAAGACTCCAAGCGGACATCAACCAAATCTTCAAATGGGCCACTCAAAACAGTATGAAGTTCAATGAAGAGAAATTTCAACTACTCAGATATGGAAAACTTGAGGAAATTAAAACTGTATCAGAGTATACAACATATTCTAACCATACAATAGAGTGAGAAAGTAATATGAAGGACCTGGGAGTGATAATGTCAGAGGATCTCGCCTTCAAAAAGCACAACAATGTATCTACCACATCTGCTAGAAAAATGATAGGATGGATAATGAGAACCTTAAAAACTAAGGATGCAAAGCCTATGATGATTCTCTTCAAATCGCTTGTTCTCTCTAGACTGGAATACTGCTGTACACTAACTGGCCTCTTCAAGGCAGGCGAAATTGCTGACCTTGAGAGTGTACAAAGAACT